GGGCTGTCATCAAAATCCAGTCGTCCTGGAAAAGTTCTTCCTTTCAGTGGAAGCTTGGTTGTGATTCTATTGTTATGCACACTCTTGCTGTCATTCCCATAGAGCAGGGGTGGTGGTGTCAAACTCGATTTCATTGAGGGCTGCGTCAGGGTTCTGTTTGACCTCGGGGAGGGGGGCATGGCCAGCTCGACGTCACTCGTGTTGGGGGCACCTGTGTGTCAGGGATTCCAAGTAAGACCCCCAACGAAAGAACACTCCGAGACTTGAGGTTCCTCAAAGTTCCATTTTATGAGAGATGTCCTATTGGCACATCTGGGAAAACCCAAATCTGAAAGCTTCCAGGATTTCCTCACCCAAAAGAAAGTCCAAGTCCTTGGCCAACACCCACATGTCCATCCCATGGCCCAATCAGGCACCGTCCAAACTGGAGATGCCTCCCAGTCACTCCCCTCCAGGCGCAGGGCAAGACGTCCTTGACTCTCTGAGAAGGGAATGTTATTTGGACTATATATCTCCCATACTCCATATAATCCCCCCCTCCCATTTCCCCACAGCAGTAAATGTGGCAGGCCGGAATGTGGTGGCCCGAGCACTCTGGCAGTAAAAACAGGCTCCCTTTTCGGCTGAGACGGCTTCCTGCCACCCTCTGCCAACGAAAATGGAGCTCGGGGGTGCTGCTTTCCTCCCAACCTCTGTTTTTGCTGGCAGAGGCACCGTGGGCAGCCCTGTGGACCGGATCTAAGCACCCCATGGGCCGAATCTGTGCCCCGGGCCTGGAATTTGACACCCCTGTCCTAGAGGAATTTGACAAAAGTTAAATTTGCCCAAATATGAGACCTGTCATTTCCCCTCCGGCATTCCTTGTTGAATAATCTTGGATTCCAAGGTTCTTGGCTGCGTCTTAACTGACACTCGTGAGGGATTGATTTATGGTAGAGGAAGTGCTAATTGGGAATGAACGGAAGCCAGCTTGCGTTCGGCTGCAGAGGACTTGCGAGAGATGACATTTTCCACCATCCCGTGGGGTGTGTGAAATGTCACTCTCAATCGTCTTTGCGCTTCCCAGACGTTGAAGTTGATGGGGAGTGACGTGGTGATGGCCTGATGGCAGAGAAGAATCTGTAATGATGTGGGGACCCCTGAGTCTAGAACAATGGCTGAAAAATGAGGAATTGTTTCCTTCTAACGGGACTCCTTATCGAAGTCCGGATATCTCAGTATAAAGCCTGCATTTTAATCAGGGATCTTGAGACACAGCATCACTCTAAAATGGGGAGGGGGGGGGAAAAACTATGCCCTGTTTATCACCTGTGGTCCTCAACAGGAATACGGCATCCAGTTTTGATCACCACAATGTAAAAAAAGATGTGGAGACTCTAGAAAGAGGGCAGAGAAGAGCAGCAAAGATGATTGGGGGACTAGAGGTTAAAACATATGAAGAACGGTTGCAGGAACTGGGTAGGTCTAGTTTAATGAAAAGAAGGACCAGGGGAGACATGATAGTATTCTTCCA